TTCTGAACATGCTGGCTGTTAGCTCAGTCTTGCAGATCCAGCGTAGGTTTCACCGCTCGGCTGGGCACCCACACCAGACCGCGATCTTTTCGTATCAGTTCTCCTACTGCTTCTGGTCGTGTCTGAATACTAGATTTTGGCTGTACACTTAAAAATACCCATTCCAGAATACTAAAAACATTGTCGTTGTTGTTACATTTGTCAGTGGCACAGTTAGGTAAGCTGGGAGAGGAAAGTTCCCCCTTTTTCTTTTGCCACTGGCAAATGATGGCATAGGGTGAATCACTAGCATTACATAACAACAAAGAAATTGGCATGGACAGAATACGTCTGTTTGACCAGGCTACTTGTATCTTCTGTACGATTTGTTGCAATGCAGTCTGTTGTGCAGGTGTCAAAGTAATTGCATCAGCTGGATGTTATCCTTGCAAAAGTTCAGTCAAAGGTGCAATTTCCTGTCGGTCGAGGATGCTGCCGTTCAGTAACAGCTGCCAATGGTTGGACTATTTCTCGAGCAGCTCGTTGCACAGCTGCAGCAACTGTGCTACTGTGTTTCTGATCATTTGCTCTCTCTACTCTTGACAGCATTTCATCAACTCCAGCACCTTTTGGTAGGGTAGCCAGAAGCTGCTTTGTAGCCCTATTTGCATCGTCAAACGCTAGTATTCTGAACGTTTGCTGCTTGCTGTAAGATTTTCCAATCATGCGGTTCCCACTTTGCCACGCCATTTTCTTGTACTACAGGACACGCTATCGGTGGAATGCCTCCCAAGCTAGCAGCGGCATCCCACTGCCCTTCCAAAATAGCATCTCGCACGATTCCGCTCCATCGCAGGCGCTTCACAGATGCTGGTGGGCCTGAGGGAATCGAGGGAGGATTGGGCTCCTCTATATTTAACGGAGGATTGTCCTGTGACGATTTCGGTTTTATTCGTGGGTCGAAGTCATTAAAACGTTGTGGAATTGTTTGTAGTAACTTACCTATATTCTTTTGAGACGATTTTTCACAATCACCGCTAGGTGGGGTTGCTGGAGCAGACGAGTCAGTGGAGGGCGGCAACGGAGGATACAAAGGTGGAGCTGAAGGCGGAGGCCGATACCCCTCCCCTTCCAGGCGGCGCAGGGCCACCCCCCCCCGGGGGGGCCCGGGGGCAC